TAGAGACTTAAAATATTGCTAGATTGAAATTAACTTTATTTTTCAATTAAATTAAGAGTCTAACCATCGAGTTTTCGATGATTGATTTATTAAATAATTTTGGAAGCAACAAACAGTCAAAAATAAAAAATCAATTTCATATTTACTGGGAAGAATTTTAAACAGGTAAAATTCATTGAATTCAATATTTTTCTAATTTACATGAATTCTAGAAGAATACTGATTTCTCATGATAGACCTTCAATTCTTATAGTTAGCAAGCGAACAATGAAGTATTACTCTCCTTTTTCTTAATTTCGTTAAAACAAGTTGCCAATGTAAACGTTACTAGTTTTATTAACTATCGTTTAAATCATGTGTGTTTATTCGAATTGCCAAAAAGTCAGTTTTATTTTATCGGAATTTTAATGCGCTAATTTTCCAAAATAAGTAGTGGCATATTGAGATAGCACTCATTTGATTTTAAACAGATTATGCTCATCAATTAGAGATCTAATTACATTCATATAGATTTTTCTTGTATATATATTAGTGCGCAATAAAGTCTTAGCTTTAAAATGAACTAGCGTGTAAAATTCTAATAATACTTTCACATTTTTATATACTAATGTGCATGAATAAGAAATCGAAAGTTATAAATTTAGCAAGAACAGATTCCAGTAGTACTTGAAACAGTTGTTCGTATATCAAGAACTTATACGATGCCCTAGATGTACGCAACATAAACATAGTAATCTTGTGAAAATTTCTTTATTTTTAGTCGCATTGTTAATGGTCATAACTGATATAACTATTTAGCTATTGAATTTCTATCTTTTTTGTATAAATAGAAGATTTTTTTACTCCGAAATTTAGTTGTTGAATGAGAAATGTTATTTGATCGACTTATAAAAGGATCTTCATTACATTTTTTTTTCTTTAAGATCAATACGATATTTATGAATAATAACAACTAAATAAATACTGAACAATTGGCTGATATTTCTCATTCTCCCTCTCAAGTTATTTATAATGATATCTCTACAGTGAATAACCACAACATGAGCAATATTTACGATGAAGATGACAATAATCTATTAAAGTATGAAATCAATCAAAAGACCTTCTGCTAGATTTTCTTCTTTATTACAATTTATATATTTTTTATTAGAAAACTTAGAGACTTAACAAATCACTCGTGCATCATAGTATTTTTAGTTATCTGTTTTTTAATCATCACAACGGTCATCGGTATTACTGTTGTTTGTGTGAAATTACAAAAACAATCAAGTATATTTTAATTTTGTTTTCTATCCTAATTTATAGATACTATATATTGAGATATTTATTCGTAAATATTTAAAGTCATATTGAAATTTAATTTCGTACTGTTTTGTTATGATTGAAAAATAAAAAATAGATCTATTATAGAAACATGTAAGGGATCCCAAAATTAGATTTCAGTGTGATTTCACTCAGAGGTGCAGTATCTGTCGTGAATCAGAAAAATTCCCTCAGACCGAGAAAATTTTCCCAAACTCGCGTTCCAGCACACAGGCTGACTCTGTATCTCTGACTCCACTGGAGTCGAAAAACGAAAATTTTCGGGACTTAACTGACGTCAGCTATCTAATTATGCTGAGCAAAAACTTGTCGTTTCGCAGAACAATAGCTTTGAGTATTCTTTTAAGAAAAACATAAAAGAGAGTAAGTATGATTAATATTGAAAATTAGTTCCCCAATAAAAAGAACAATATTTCAGTTACACAGTAAGGTGCTGGCAATTCGAACTTTCAGTAAAACTTTTTTCTCGCGTTTTTTTCATATCATCTGATGGATTTTTATGAGCTGATCACGAATCTCTACTTTTTAGCTTTAGAAAAGCTTCTTTCCGGTCGAAAAATACGAAATACTCGAGAGGTGTCATTTTTCGAGAAAAATGCATCCTTTCGAGAAATATGCAAATTTTTCTATTTTATTCTTTTTTTCCCTTCTAAAAATTATTTTTTTCAGATTCAGCATCAAAAATTGAGTCTAGAAAAGTTTTTGAATCAACTCTAGATCCAAAACTGAATTGGTGGTGGCACATCGAATCTCGGTAAGTACACCACGTAGAGACCGATTTTGTAAATATATCAACTTTTTCTATTTAAGTGATAAAGGCAAATGTCTTATATCATTCGACTCATGATACCACTACTTACAAAGTTACAGACCACTTGTTTTCTTTTCATTTTCTGTGTTGAGAAAACCGGGTTTTACGAATATCAAAGGTATTTTAAGCAGTATTCAAAGGCTTTCGAACTCAAATAAGACTTTTATTCGTAGACTAAATATAGAGTCAGAATTAGCACAAAAAACTGAGTAAGATGAAGTATCTTCTGAAAAAATTCGACAACTTTTATTTTTTCTCATTTTTCTGGTATTGTCGGAGGACTGGAACTTATGCAGACGTGTCAAAAAATGAAACTTATCAAATTTCCTTGAAAGGTACTTCGTCTGTCTTAGTTTTTTGCGCTGATTCTGACTCTATATTTAGTCTGCGAATAAAAGCCTTATTTGAATTCGAAAACCTTTGAATACTGCTTAAGATACCTTTGATATTCGTAAAACCCGGTTTTCTCAACACAGGAAATGAAAAGAAAAAACAAGTGGTCTGTAACTTTGTAAGTAGTGGTATCATGAGTCGAATGATATAAGACATTTGCCTTTACCAGTTACGTAGAAAAAGTTGATACGTTTACAAAATCGACCTTTACGTGGTGTGCTCGCCGTGATTCGATGCGCCATCACCAATTCAGGTTTGGATCTAGAGTCGATTCAAAACTTTTCTAGACTCATTTTTTGATGCTGAATCTAAAAAAATAATTTTCAGAAGAGAAAAAAAAGAATAAAATAGAAAATTTGCATATTTCTCGAAAGGATGCATTTTTCTCGAAAAACGACACCTCTCGAGTATTTCGTATTTTTGGATCAGAAAGTAGCCTTTGCTAAGGCTAAAAAGTAGATATTCGTGATCAGCACATAAAAATCTATCAGATGATGTGAAAAAACGCGAGAAAAAAAATTTTTACTGAAAATTCGCTTTGCCGGCACCTTACCAATATTATTAACTATTGGTTGCTTACAGACACACGGAAGAAAGAAATTTTCTTTTAATTGATACACTATCCACGGAAGAACATGCTGAGCTCACAAAGAAAGCATTGAGGATCTTTCTTAGTTCTTTAAGAGATTTACGGAATCAAAAAGGTTCTTCTTCTGACCACATGTTCAGAGAAAAACCCTATCTTTCATGCCGAGGGCATATACTGAATGGTGTAGATCTGGATCTAGGGAATTATACAATCATCAAAGCAAGCAACAGCATCTCACACTATAGAAACTTTATAGTGTCCTGATCTTCATCTTCCAATTTTTTTAATCATTTTTCCATTTTCATTCATTCTCTTGTCTGTTGCTGCATGCCTTCTTGAAAGAACGAATAGCATAAAGGTCACTCTTATTCTCCAATAGTTTTGAAAAAAAAGCAGTCTATACTGCCAGAATCAACACTAGATTCGGAATATAATACACTACTTCATTTTTCACAAGGCTGAAGAAGTATGCTGAATGTGGTCGCCAAGAGGACCATCGAAAATTTTTCTATAGTTCAGATTTTGTTTATTCACAGGCCAACAAACTCGCCAATCACGAATATAACATTTATTTTCAGTGAAATAGTATATGATATCAACAAACAGCCAAAGGTCGAATAAAAATCAATAAAGGTTTCCCTAAGAAAATATCCACTATTGACTGTTTTTCACGTTGTCTATCATTGTCGAGTAAAATGAATATGATATTTATGATTAGCAAGCTTCTTAATTTATAACCCTAGCCTCAATCCTTTTCATTCCTTGAGGAACCCTGAAAGGATCTTTTAGGATCCTGAATCTCAAGGATCTTGTCAAGTTTTATTCAGGATCCTGTTTCGAATCCTAGTAATTCCTGTTTTCAAGATTTTTCAAGGTGACCCAAGATCCTGTCCAGGATTTCTTCAAGTTCCTGCTCAGATATTTTTCTCCGTTGAAAATACAGGATCCTAGCAGGATTTACTTAGGATCTTACTAAAGATCCTCTCAAGATTACGAGAAAGGATTCTACCAAGATTTAGTTAGGTTATCGTCAGGATCTAGATCAAATCTTCGTATCAGGATCCTGTCAGGAGTAATGTCCAGATCAGACGAGGATCTTGGCAAGAAAATAACAAGAGCAATGAGGATACAAAATTAACTAATCCTGCAAAGATTCAATCAGAATCTTGTTCCGACCTTTTCAAGAATATGCGTCTCCAAATCTGGCAAGATAATATAAATGTTAATAAGGATCTTGATAAGAAAATGTAAGGATTTACCAAATATGTTTAAAGGTTACCGCTTAATTCACAGACCTATACCAATTTTTTGAGTCAAACTTGACGGATTTTTCATAATCATAAGTCTTAAGGATCCTCTCAAGTGTGATTCAAAATTCTATCCAGGATCTGTTCAAGTTCTTGCTCGGATTTTTTTCTGAATTGAATTTGCAGGACCCTACTAACACTCACTGGTAATCCTATCCAGAAATCTAGCGCAAATCATAAAGAGAATTTTGTCAAGATTCCATTGGGTTTCAGTCAAGATCTTTTCTGGATCCTGACATACGGATCCTGCCAAGTATTATAGTTATATCAGAGAAGGATCATACCAGGAACAAAACAGGATAAGTTAGAATCCTCAACTAAGAAATCCTGTCAAACCTCGATCGTGCTCCTGAGAGGAACTGTTCAAGAATAGACATTTCAAATGCTTAAAAAAAATTATAAGTATGATCAGGATCTTGACAAGATAATACGAGGAGTCAGTTCAGATCTTTCCAGATTTCTGTTTATTATTAAATTAATGTGTTAATTTGAACTAATCATCATAAAATATTTTCATTAAACATATAAGTTTGATCAGCAGAAGTTCTTTCGATAAAAACTACTAACAGTTTTGATTATGTTTGGAAGTATTCCAAATATATTTTTTGTGTCAAAATTGAAAAAAATCCTAAATATATTTTCAATCAGCTTAACAGAAAAAAATACATTTTTTTGAAAATCCTAATTGAACTAAAAAAATTGCAACTATGTTTTTGAATGCATTGAGAGTAAAAAAATTCTAAATAGATTGTTTACATTCACTTCAGATAAAAAAATTTTAAGCATATTTTTTAAATTCAATTTAAATAAAAAAAACTCGAAATGTATCTTTTAAATCGAATTGAAATTTAAAAAAGTATAACATTTGACTAAATAAAAAAATATGTGAAATGATATTGCATTTTCAGAATTTTTTTGAAATAATTTCCATCTACATAAAATTCAAACAGAAGTTTGCATCAAAGTTAGAAATGAAGATATTGAATCTTGAAGTGATATAGATTGACATGTCATATCCAGCTGGATAAGCTGATCGGTATGTAAACTGAAGGTCTAGAGATCAATACTCTATGTGTTCATTTGTCTGATATTCTATTTAGGAAACCCTACAAAGATCCTGTCAAGAAACTGATAATATCCTAAAGGAAACTTAAAGCAATCCTGCACAGATCCTGCCAGGAAACTTGATAACATCTTCGAGGAAACCTTATAAAATCCTGAAAGATATGATCAGAAATCTTTTTTTCGCAATTTTGAATTATTGAAATCCTGACAGGATTCTACACTTTCGTGGCTACACACTTCTTTCAGGAATCATTGCTTTCCTGGTTGGATCTTGATTTGAAAAAGCCATGGGAAACTTGTCAGGATCCTAGGAAATCTTGTTTGGAAACCTGACAGGATCCTTAAAATCCGTGGCTACACACTTCTTTCAGGAATCAGCGCTTTCCTGGCTTAATCCTGAATCAAAAAGCAATGGTGAGCTTGTCAAGATCCTTGAAAATCTTGGTTGGAATCCTGTCAAGATTCTATAATTTCGTGGCTACACACTTCTTTCAGGATTTAGTCGTTTCCTCAGGAAAAAATAGCTAATCCTTGCAGGATCCTGATTATATCTGTTTAGGAACCGGTGCTGAAACATCAAAGATTTTCCCTAGGGAAATAATCAGAAACTGGACAAGAATTTGAATATAATAAACATCACACGTCACTGATAGTAAAATTCGAGAGTTGGAATCAGATTTTGAAATGAAAATATTGCCTCTGCACATGTATATTTGAATCTATTTTACTAAATTTTTCGATGTCTAGATATCAAATGTGAAAGAACATTCAAACGAAATATTGATCGTCTTTCTAAAACAGATGCAAGTCCACATCATGTAGCCGTGGGAAATTTTAATCGCGATGGTCATACTGATATTGTAGTTGGTAATTATGCTTCTGATAATATTGCAATTCATCTAAATAATGGAGATGGAGATTTTTCACATCGAATTATATATTCACTCGAAATTGGTTCTTCACCAATTTGGATTGCTGTCAACGATTTTAATAATAATATACAACTTGATATTGCTGTGGCTAATTATGGTAGTCATTGTGTAGAAATATATCTTGACTTTAATAATGAAAATTTTTCAAATCAATCAACAATATCATTTGGCTCTTTACGTCCTGTTTCATTAGCTGTTGGTAATTTTAATCGAGACAATCGAACAGATATAGCTGTTGTTACAAACGGAACTTTTAATCTAATTCTTTTATTCGGTTTTGGCGATGGATCATTTAAAATAAATGCAATTTATGATATGGGTTATGATACAATGCCATATTCAGTTGCTGCAACTGATCTAAATAATGATAATCAAGATGATATCGTTGTTGTTAATTATGGTACTAGCAATCTAGTTATATTTATGTCTAATGACGATGGAAATTTTTCAAAAAGTATATACTCAACTGGAAGCAATTCTCATCCATGTGTCGTTAGTTTTGGTAATTTTAATCATGATAATTATCTTGATATAGCTGTGATTAATTCTGCTAATAATACAGTTGGTATTTTTTCCGGAATAGGCGGTGGTAGATTCACATCTGTAGCCTTATACTCAGGTCAATCTACTTCTCATCCACAATTTTTGGTTACTGGAGATTTTAATCTGAATAATCTTACTAATTTCATTATTGCAGATACAGGAGTAAATAGTATAACTGTTGTGGAACAATTTTCAGGTGGAGGCTATGCATTTACATATACACATTCAATGGGTGCAAATTCGAAACCATATGCACTTGCTATGGGAAATTTCGATAATGACAACAAACCAGACGTAGTTGTTGCTAATAGTGGTACTAATTCAATTGTGGTACTTCGATCATATTCAAATTTTCTCAGTGCCAATCAAAACAAATATTCAACTGGTACACTTTGGTTTCCGAACTGTCTTGCTGTTGGCGATTTCAATAATGACCAAATTCTAGATATTATTGTTGCTGGCTCATTCTCCAATTATATTAATTTTTATTTCGGATATGGTGATGGCGATTTCATATATCAAGAAGCTATTTCTTTGAAAGGACTAAGTGTTACACCATATTTAGTTGTCGTAAATGATTTTAATAATGATGGAAACACTGATTTGGTTGTGACTACGTATGATAATAATCAAATACTCATCTATTTAGGACGAGGCAATGGTGATTTCTATAAAAAATTTATATATTCGACTGAAGTATCTTCGTTTCCAACTTCAATTATTCTTCATGATTTAAATCAAGATAATATTGTTGATATCGTCACAGCTAATGCAAACGATAATACAATATCTGTATTACTCGGACATGGTGATGGAACCTTTGCAAATGCAACGAATTATTCGACAGGAAATTCTACTTCTCCAATATATGCAACTGTAGGTGACTTCAATAATGATGGTTTAGTTGATTTAATATCTGCAAATTATGATACAGATTCTTTAACAATATATTTTGGTAATGGTTATGGAATTTTTTCAAACCAAATATTTATATTCACGAGTAATTACTATGCAAATAGTCTTGTTGTTCAAGATTTGAACAATGATAAGGATGATGATATTATAGCTATCTTTCCCAGTTCATCATCGATGGGTATTTTCCTAGGAAATGGTGATGGATCTTTTCAACAGATGAAAATCTATTCAACAGATGTAGGAAGTTTACCACTATTTTCTTTTCTGGCTGATTTTAATAAAGATGGTATGAAAGATATTGCAATTTTGGATTCTGCCACGCCAAGTATTAACATATTTTTCGGGTATAATAATGGATCATTTTCTAAAAAACCTTCAATACCCATTGACAGTAGTTCGAGTTCTTATTTCATGGCTTCTGGTGACTTTAATAATGATAGTGAAATCGACATTGTTGTCAGTAATCTCGCTAATGGTGATATAACTATACTTCTCTTGCGATATCAAACTGATTTTGCAAATGAAACATTTTATTCGGAAGGCTCTCTATCACGTCCATTATCAGTTGCTCTCGGTAATTTCGGGCAAAGCCATCAATCTGGTATTGTTGTTGCCAATTCTGGAACTCATACTGTGCAAATATTATTTGATTATCAACAAGGAACATTTATGAACAAAACAACTTACAAGATTGCTGATAATTCATATCCACAATATGTAGCTGTTGCTGATTTTGATAAGGATGATCAACAAGATGTCGCCATGATTGATTCTTGGAATGCTGCTTTAATAATATTTCTTACTGTTGATAATGGAATATTTGATCAAAAAAGTGTTTATTCATTAGAATCGAAATCGTTTCCAAATTCGATTGGTGTTGGTGATTTTAATAAGGATAGGTGGATTGATGTCGTTGTTACAAATAAAAATGCAAATAATATCGCTGTATACTTAGGATTTGATTATCCAACATTTGTTAGTTCGAAAATGACTTTACATCGACGTGATTCTCTGGCATATTCTATTGGTATTGGTGATTTCAATAATGATTTTCGATTGGATATGGCAATTATTAGTTATGAATCTAATGTCATATCTGTGATTTTCGGATATGGAGATGATGGTACATTTGGAAATGAACAACAACTGAACATAGTTACATTAAAAAACCCATTATGTCTAGTCGTTGATGATTTCAATAACGATACAGCATTGGATATTGCTGTTACTAACAGGGCAGTGAATTATGAAGATCCAACCATATATGCTCTTCTTGGTAAAGGTGATGGGACATTTCCAGAATATACGTCCTTCTCAACATCTGGTTTAGATCCAGTTTTCATGGTAACTGGTGATGTTAATAATGATAACAGATTGGATCTTGTTGTACTCAATTTAGTTGATAATTATATTACAATACTTATAGGGTATGGAAACGGATCATTTGAAAAAGAGATATTATATTCAATGGATCCATCATCTGATCCATCATGGGCAGTTATTAGTGATTTTAACAATGATAATATATTAGACATTGCGGTAGCCGATTATGGCGGAAATCAGATGGGCATTATATTGGGTTATGGTGATGGTAATTTTAGAAATGTTATTGGTTATCCAACTGGAGAAGATTCCAATCCTTGTACGATTGATATTGGAGATTTTAATTCAGATAGTCATACTGATATCGTTGTCGCGAATAAGAATGGTAAGAATGTTGCTATATTCTATGGTTATGGTAATGGGACATTCTCATTATTTACATATTATGCGACTGGATCTACATCGATGTTATATTCAATAGTAGTTGTTGATTTGAACAATGATAAACTTCTCGATCTTGTTTATTCCGACTGGGGAAATGGTATAGCTGTTATTGGTGTATTTTATGGATTAGGTAATGGCAGATTTTTACCAGTGAACACATATAAACTAGATATTAATTCACAACCGACAAAGATTGTAATTGGTGATTTTAATAATGATAGTCGTTTAGATTTAGCTGTGGCAAATGCAAATAAAAGATTTATATATGTCATGCTTCGAAATAAAACTCACCCGTTAGCACAACCTACTACGTTTTCAACAGGTGTTAACTCACGTCCTAGGTCAGTCATTGTTAGTGATTTTAATAGTGATAATCAACTAGACATCGCTGTTGCAAATTCTGAAATGAGTAATATTCTTATTTTTCTTGGAGATGGTAATGGAAACTTTGCAAAGCAAGGATACTATTTAACTGGTCCTTCTTCAAATCCTGTATCTCTGGCTATTGGAGATTTTAATAATGATAGACGAACTGATATTGTTGTAGTCAATGCTAACAGTAGTAATATTTGTATATTCATTGGATATTCAAATGGTAGTTTTACAATATTAGAAACTTACTCAACAGGAGAGAATTCTGATCCATCTTCGATTGCTGTGGCAGATTTGAATAAAGACAATCAAACTGATATTGTCGTTACTGATAGTAGTACCAGTAACGTGCTTGTTTTCTTTGGACTCGGCAATGGAAGTCTTTCAACACCAGACAGATATTCACTTGGTTATAATTCTAATCCTGTATCTGTTGCCATTGGAGATATTAATAATGATTCTTGGTTGGACATCATTGTTGCTAATGCTGGTTCAGACTCTATAGAAATTCTATTGCAGACGTGTTGATTTCATGTTTAGGGTGTGGGTGTGGGTGTGGGGTGTGAATAGTTACCACGAAACTTAAAAGTTTTTCAAATTTACTAATTTATTCTTATCAAGTGGCAACTATTTGTACGATTGGTTCAGAAAATGAAAAAAATTTTCAAATCAAATACAAAATACTATGAATATCTACATAAAAGTAGACAATAGCAGGTATAGAGTGTGAATAGTTACCACAAAACGTAAAAGTTTTTCAAATTTACTAATTTATTCTTATCAAGTGGCAAATTACTTCTATAGATGATCCAAAATTGATAAATTTCGAGGATGTGGGTGTGATAGAGCTGCCAAGATCTAGATTTCGTCCCTGCTAGAGAACTCATCAGGTGGCTTAAATCACAAATATAAGGGTGTGTATTAATTTTAAGGAATACTACGACTATAGTTTGGACCTTTCTCAAGGGTCAATCCTCAGGTAGTTTTAGCACTGCATTATTTTATAGATTAAATTGAGAGGGTGTGGGTGAGTGTGGGTATGGGCGCATCTGCCAATAACATCCACACCCACACCCCACACCCACACCCACCCACACCCCCACCCCCACCCACCCCCACACCCACCCACCCCCACACCCACCCACAGCCACACCTTTTCCGGCCATGATAATTTCAATTCACTATACATTGCTTTAAGGTATTTCATTCGACCAGTTCTTCCAAAAAATTAAAATATCTCTTCTAATGATTAAATATATTTAACTCGAATACATAATTGATATCATCTATAACATATTTCACAATTTGAATATTTATTCATATGACAATTTCGATCCATTTGTTTAATTCTATCATAAATTATCATTTTTGATGATTGATTAAGAAAAAGATTAAATAAATAACCTATTTAATTTGCATTTAATAAATTTAATTGTTCATTTGTTATCAATGAATATTGATCAGCTAATTGTTGACATTGTCGTTCAAGTTTTATAGGAAAACCAATAGTAATCGAAGGCACACCAGGAGTATATAACCATGAATTCCAATCAACTTTCATTACATGCGGAAAATATTATTCAAAATATTGAATAAAATCATCGGTATTCAAAATTCGATAACTAAATTTATCAATATACAAACGAAGAAGTGCATCAAAATCAGATTCTGAACGAACAATATCTTGTTCAAGATGACAGAGAACTGCTGTACCTTTGAAATATTGTACTAAAAAAAACAATTTCGTTCAATAAAAATTTCAACCGATTTATGATATGATACTTTACCTGAACTATATGCATCATCAGAATCGATATGTTTTAAACGATAAACTAAACAAGTATATGGATGTTTTAATCCCCAATCATAAATATCTGTTTCCATTTCTTCCCATTGGTGTGCTACATAAAAACG